TATTGAATATTCCTATACATGGTGGATATGGTGGAAGACCAAGAACCTTGGTCCAAAGTAGAATAATACCCATTATTATTTTTATAATTACCAAAATTTATTTTTGTTTGTGCATACCATAACGGGCATAAGCATTCAGCCAATATGTGGATAGCTAAGTAAGAAAATCAATATATTATATTAGTAACTAATCCCTTGGCTTTCATTTTTTCGAGAGGAAATTTTGCTGGTGGTGGGGTTGGGTAACTTTGGATTTCCTCCCCTCTCTGGTTTTTCTTTTCGCTACGGCCCTGAGTTCCATACAATAATACAGTCTAATTTCGAAAGCGTTCCTTACATTATTCTATGTCGCAAATCTTCTAGATTTGTAGAATGTATTTAATTGGTAGTAAACGTTTTGAACTGGACGACACTGTTACTTTTCGTTGAATCTAGTTGTCGCAGAACAACAAGTAGTCACTGTCACTTCTTCACGAATTATTATTCAGTCATCCTTGTTCACTGTGTCCCAACATGGTTTATTCTACTGAAAAAAGAATAGACATTTTTCCAACACATTAGCGAAATAATGAATGTGCTAAAGCTGCTGAAAGAATTTATAATACGAACTTCAGGTTCTGTTCACAACAGAAAACATGAAGTATTCCATTCTGTCAGAAATGACGAAGTTGAAATTGCAGTTTTAGGACATGTACAAATGGATAATCGACAATCTATCAGACAAATAGCTAGAGCATCTGGTTTATCAGCAAGATAATGCACCCCCACATTTTGATATTCTGGTGAGACAGTTTTTGGACGAACATTTTCCAATGCGTTGGATCGGCAGAAGAGGTCCAGTGGAGTGGCCAGCTAGATCACCCGATCTCACACCGATGGACTCCTTTCTGTGGAGACACCTGAAGTCGAAAGTGTACTCCACTGATCCTACAAATCTGGAAGACCTACGACAGAGAATTGTTCGGGAAAGCCGATTGCTGGCGCCGGACATCTTGAATAATGTACGGAACGCTTTCGAAAGAGACTGTATTGTTGTCATGGGTCATTTTGAACAATTTATTCGTTGATTTTGTTTGCACTGATGTTATTTGTTGTTGATTTCCTCATCAGAATGAACGACGAATTTTCTGTTTTTTTTCCTAAATAAAACGTTCAACATTTAATTTGTCAATAACGAATGAATTAATTTAAAAAAAACAGAGGTAATAGAGGAACAATAGACCTTTCAAATGATGTATCACTCGACCCCCCATGCAATTGAAAAAATAGGGCTGATAGTTTCTGACCGCAGGGGGGTGAAGTTTCGGGTATAATTTTCATATCAGAATTAGTCTCTGTAGAAATGAAAATCGACGTGTTCTTTGAAATTTTGGATGACATGTCCATTTCTGGCTTACAGGGGAGGTCAAGTTTTCGTTGGAACGCCCTGTATGTTTTCTTCTTATCTAAGTGTATTATAAATGTATTATAAATGTTTTGTTTGTTCCAGAAGTCCAATAAAAGCAATTACCCGGTAATATTCTACATCTACGGTGGTGCTTTCATTGAAGGATCTGCAGAATCGTACAATCCTGAATATCTAGTTGAGCATGATTTAATTATTGTCAATTTCAACTACAGAGGGGGATTGTTCGGTGAGTTACTAATTCTGATGAGTTGAGTAGTCGTAAAATGCTGAAGAGAGAGTGAAATTTCATATTAAAATATCATGATTTCGTTTTACTGGTTTTTGTCTATATAACCTCTCACAGTCTGAAAAATAAACGAAGCTGAATCAATAGAGAATCTACTGAAGTATAGTAAAGGGAATACTGAAAAGTAACTGTTTAATAAAAACCACTGAAGTTAGTTAAACACTTATTATAGTCATGAATTTTGCCTACAAATTGAATATTCAATGGAGAACATGAAATTATGAAAAAATATGTTTTTTCCGTTGACCAGCTATCGCACCCCTACGAACGACAACACTCAGAAGTCGAAACTTGTGCGAGCTAAGGACTAACGAGGTCTTACCCTTTCAACGTGTGATTTCTAACACGGGTTGGACGATAGCAAGTGCAAAACGAACATTCATCCTGGGGCTTGAACCATCGACTCACACATCGGCCGATTGACTGGGTGAACACCCACGTCGAAGCACCCGGCTACCGACCGAAAACTCAGTTTTCTTTATATGGTTCGCGATTCGGAAAATAATCATTTTCTGTTTTCTGTCAGAACCTAAAAACGATTACTTCTGAACAAGGCCTCAATTGCGAATAAATATATTTTTTCGACACACGTCAGAAGAATCATATATCCAGTTAATACAGTGTGTCTCACTTCTCATGGAAACACCCCCGTATCTTCCGTAATATTCGAGGTAGAACGATGAAACTCTCTGGACTGATGGAAATGCTCAAAATGCACCTACCACCTGAATGGGGTTGGTCAAAGTGATATACACTGTCCGCCACTCGCGATGGAACACCCCATTTTTACG